TTAAGATATTTCAAAATACTACTATCGTACGTCAATTGAGTGAATTGTCACATTTTCAAGAATATTCTTTTAGCATTTGATTTTAAGACTCTTAAAATTACAAGAACTTTAAATGCAGAGCACGATTTTGAAACATAATGAGGCAATCTCCTGATCATTTCCTCGTGGTTGCAAACCTTTCAAGTTTGCAAACTTAATGCAGTCTCTGGTTTTTTATTTTTTATGTGACGCATGTTCCTCTCTTACACCCACTACGAAGGTATTATTCTATATACTTTAATTTATAGATTTTCAATACTTATGTAAAAGCTATTTTTCTTAAAGTTACTTTCCCTTTTTTAATAAAAATATTGGAAATATAATTATTGTCGAGACATTATTTGTTTCACATTGCAATGGAACATTTATAAATCGTCGCATATGTGCCTGAAATACACAACAGACTTACTATGGCAAGCAGTATCAAAGGCGTGTAACTTTTATTGCATTACTGTTGCGGTACTGCTTTCCCACCAAATATGAAAATCGAGGCTGAGTAACCACGCGACATAAATGAACAAGGACATAGTAGGATACTAAAACTGGAGGATGTAAACATTTACATATTAAAATTTTTAGCCTTTTAATTGTGACCCCATAATTTCTCACACTCAATCAGTCAAATCTTGAAAAATACCTTAAAAATTATGTGATTACTACAGACATTTAGCAATGAAATTGTAGTTTCACATTACTACAGCCCTTATTAAATAAGCTTTTAGGATAAAGACGTTCTCCAAGTAGAACCAAAGTAAGTTACTTAAAAGGAATTCTTTTTTTTTTATAGAAGAGGGGGCAAACGAGCTTGTGGCTTGAGTGATACCGCGCGGCACAGGGGGCATGTTGCCGGCCCTTTGAAAGGAGTAAGTTTTTTTGAAGGTCTGTATGGTCTGAGAGGGTGGGTCTTTTTCACAAAGCACGGTCCTGAGCCAACTGCATCAATTGACTTCCTGCATCGCTTACCAGGTCGTCACTCCATCTAGTGTGGGGCTGACCTACACTTAGCTAATCGGTACGAGCCTGCCACTCACGTACCTGTTTCGCCCATCACTTGCCGGTTCTTCGAGCTATATTTCTGGCCTATTACCATTTCAGCTCACTGATTCGTTGCACTAACTCTGTTACTCTGGTTCTACTTCGGAGAACGTCATTATACTAAAATCTTATTTACTAAATACCGGGTCACAAAGTGTTAATAGCCTAAAACAGATGAAAACAAACATCTCCTAAATTTCATTCGCAACAATATACCAAGACATTTCGTATCGATGACGCTATTAAATAAAGAGATTTATCATATTTTAAATTTTGCGCGTTGATTACGACAAAAATTTCTTCCTGTCCATGTACAGCGGTGGATGAACATAAGAAATAATGATGAGAATAATGTGAACTTTTTTCAATATTAAATTTTAAGTGTCACTGTTATAAACAAGATAACGTAATGGGCGTCATTGAAATAAAATGTGATAAGTGAAACGTAAAACGTTTCAAAATTTATGGACGTTACACGAAACTGGTTGCAGCAATAAATCGGTATAACGCTGAAAATTAAATTTGGGTAAAACTACAATGTTTTTTTAATCTGTTTTTACATTACATATATGCGATTTTAACAACAATAAAAGGTAACAGTAAAAAAAAAAACTAAAACTATCATACTATTATCTTTTCCTCGACGTATTTAATGAACCTGCGAACGCTGACTGCATTTCAATAATTCTTTAAATATAGCTAAAAGTTAATTCTATAGCCTTTGATCGAGAGAAAACCAGTTCTTGTCTAACGTAGATAATGAGTATCAGATGTTCTCAAAATTCAACGCTTAATAATACCTTGGACTGATAGTTCTTACAGCAAATAACACTTATAGTAGTATAATGTGTCACCTTTCAGAGACTCACATGTTTCCGGAGGATTCTCTATGTGTTTAAAAGTACTTTTAAACTGTCATCGCCTTCTTATCTGTTTTTGCCTCAAAGCAGCAGTGTATTGACTTTCGTGATTCAATTTGAAGGGTAAGAATGCAATACAGAGTACAATAATTATGGGTTTTGATTTCGCATCAGTTTTCTTCTTTTTTGAAAGTGATAACTGAACCCTGAACCCGAAGCGAAATCAAAACCCTTATTCAAGTCATTTATTAACCTAATTTAAGTCGACTTACCATCAAATGGCTTCTTTTTATTTATTCTATTAATTATTTATTTATTTAAATCTTTATTTGCATAAAACATGGTCATACAGACAAAGCCCTTACATTTGTAAATAATTATTTATGTTTGCCGCATGCCGATGACAAAATTAACGATAGATTGCTATCGATAAGCAAATATTTTGTCATCGGCATGGAATCGAGTTACATAATGAAAATCAATTTAATAAATATAAATTTAAATAAAGTCATAGTAATACAGAATTTCAGCATTTGAAAATAAAATGTCAAGAATCATATTATATCCATATATCTTGGCAAAAGCACTTTACGGCATTCATTTTATTTGAACTACTTAATTCAAAAGAACATAATAATATTTTAGTTATAATAAGAAACATTATTAACATTAAACCCTATCGGAAAAGCAAAGTTATATTTCAGTATGTATAAAATCAGTATAATTTGAAAATTGTGTCGGAGAATCGAATAACGGCTTGTTTGCTTGATAAGGTTCCCATCGGTTTAATTTAAATGAACACATTGTACTGCTTAACTTGGCTATGCTTAAAATATTATTTGAATGAAATATTAGTTATTTTTTCATTTGTAATGTTAAGTTTTTTTTTTAAATAAATTTGCGTTTACTCAAATTTCAAACTAGCAGAGCCGCGCAGGTTTTTTTTATAGAATAAGGTTGACAAACGAGCACACAGTCCACCTGATGGTAAATGGATGCTTAGGCCCTTAGACATCTACATTTATCCTCGATTAAGAATCAAAACGCAGATGCGTTGTCACCCCTGAGGACTAAGATGGAATTTCTTGTTTCCAGTAAATAGTATCACCGGATTTCTACACTCACCATACGAAATACAGACGAAACACTAACAAAAATAAGAAATGCCAGTAAATTTTCAAAGTTACAAAAATAAAGCCGTTTTTCTTGTTTTTTTTTTTAAGCATTAAAGGAAAAATGGTTCCAATTTTACCAATAAATATTTATTCAGTATTCTTAATTTGAAACGAGAGGTTTCGACGATTATGAATTTCAAAAGGGTATATATAGCCCTAGGTGATAATTATAGCTCAAAGAAGAAATAATCCTTTATTCAAAAAGAATAGAATCGAGTTCGTAAATTTCTAAATGCGCCGTATTTAAAACAGGAAATAAAAGCCTAAGCATTTAGTTAAGCTGTTTTATCATTTTAAACGAGAAATTGCTTAAATATATCTTTACATTTATTTTTTTATTATTTTTTCGTACTGTTCATCATCACCATTCATTCAGATCATTAGACTTCACGAAATATGTAGAGTACATTTAATGACTTTATTTCCATTTCAAATTTTTAAAATTTAATGACTTATATTAACGCAAATAATACTCATTGAACTAAGTTTTATGCCATCTAAACCCATGGTCAAGCCTTACAAAACATTCAAAACATCGGAGATTTAAACGTAATAGTCAACTTTTGATCTGAGTATTAAAAATTGTTAATGAAATAGGTACGGAATGAATTCTTCTTTGATTCGTAGTATATTTAACTATGCTTATTAGTTATTTTACAAAACATTTTTGTGGTTAGCATTAGCATTTTGTAGTAATGCCTAAAGTGTGTATGAATGGGTGCGTTTGGCAGAAAAAAGCGCTAGCAAGCGCTTACAAGCGCTAAAATAGTTTTCGGCCAGGACACGATTGCTACTTCAGTAGCGCTGACACAATCCGCCATTTTTCTTATTTAATTTGTTTGTTTTGAAGTAGAGTTTATAAGTTGTTTTGTGCAATATTAGTTTTAAGTAATATAATGACATGAATAAACATATACATGTTATTAAAAATTCATGATTGGTAAGTTTTTAATACGAATACTTTACAAACATATGTTTAAATTAGGTTAAGTTCCGCGGTTAAAACTAATATCGTGTCCTAGAGGAAAATAGCTACTTACGATTTGACAGCACTTACCGCTTACGATCGCCATTTTGTTTACAAGCGCTTGCTAGCGCTTTTTTCTGCCAAACGCACCCACTGTGTATGATTGTTTTTTTTATCTCAAAAACATTATTATTTCGTAAGGCTATTAAATGAGTCTCGCATTAAGACAATTGTCTTGTGGTGTAGAATTAAAGCGGGTTATATTACGAACCTTATTCATATAAACATGGCTCTTATTATCAATAATATATTCATCGCCAATATTATTTTGTAATTGTCTTGTAGAGATCGCGATAAGGTCGCCAATTGTACCCTTTTATAAAATTTGTTGTATTATAGTAAGTAGTCGCAGGAAGGATAATACTGCGCCTGATTACTTGTTGTTTACTAGTTCACAACTCGAAAAGCCAGTCAATAGTTATTGCAATCGTTTAAATAATATCACACAATGGTGGTGGCATATCCCTACTACCTATCAAAACTGAACCTAGCAACGGTTTGAATGTGTAAGAATTATACAATCCAAATACTTTTATAATATGAAAATAAGTAAAACGCTGTTATAAATATTACTGATAAGTGAATTAATTACAAATGTTTAGAAAATGAAAATACTTATATAATACTCCTTGTAAATACCTCAAATTCTAAATTAAAAATAAACTGAGAAAATTACCTATGATAATTATTATGGCAATACTAATATATAAATAATATATAAAAAATAATATAAAATCAAAACGATAATTATAAAAATATTATTTATAACGACTCAAAATAGAAATTATGTAAAAATCACTGATACCATTCGGCCATCCTGATTCAAGCCGTGCCCCACGGCAATTTTCAAAGTGCGTTTGGTAATCATTTAGTAGCATTTGATGTTAAAGGTGTCATAACAAAGCTGGAAGGAGTTCCTTTGCTAAGCCATGCAGTAACCCCTGAAGCTGGTCTGCCATCTTGTGGTGTCAATTGTAGTCGCACTTTCTGTAATGGAAAAAATTTGTACAAAAATTAATTGTTCCATAAGCAATCTTTGTCCGTAAGAAGTTGTAAAATTAAGAATGTTGTAAAACCAACTTCAATATAAATAAAATGAGAACATCTTCAAAGTATTCGAAGTCTATTAAATACGCATTACTAAGATAACTCAAAAATTACCGGTCAGATCTTGATATCTCGTTCGCTATTATATATTTCGCCCAAATCTAGTTCCTCAAAATTAATATTTTTTTCTAAAATGGCGGTATGCTTTTATTATATTTGTATCAGTACATAAGACATTTATTATATCTTTCTTATAATAAATGTCCGCCCTAGTTCGCTACACGATAGTGATTTCCTATATTAAAAATAATTTTAATTGTATAAGTTGCAGACGTTAATAAAACGCCCCGTATTAATACATATCGTTCGAATTGTAAGCAAGTAGGGTAGTAGTATAAGTTAAGTCCAAACACTTGTTATTTTAATAAATATTAACAGGCATTTTATAACAAAAAGGAATAGCTAGGTACGTTTTCTGATAACCGTATTTCATATGTATGGTGGAACTCAGTATTATCATATAAACTATTTCTGATCAGGGTGGTGCTAAATGAACTAGTGATCAAAATGACGTTATCTTGACTGCCAATTACCTACTGCTGGTTGACCTATAATCATATCAACATTGCTTGTGCAACCATGCGTCACCTCTGGTATGGTAGATAACGGTACCAAGAGAAAATATACAGCCACTTAATAATCCTTTCAATAGAACAGTGGATGGAATTAAAGGTAGATCTAGCTATCTGACTATATCGAGTGTCAAAATATTCACTTTACTGCCGGTATCGATATAAGCACTTATCTTACAATCTAATTAATAACAACAAACAATTTTATTAAAACAGTCTTGCCGAATATAAAAGGATTTAAAAGTCTACATCACCTTAGAAATGCTATCCCAGCAGGTCGTAGACTCGTGGCCCCGACGCTAGCAACCTGTACAGAAGAGCTGGCTCCGACATACTTAAATCTCGTGACCTGGTCCCTGCAATATATACCACAGCTTCATCGATGATGACGGCCCACGACGCCACGTAGTTCTGGCTAGCTGACTAGCTTCCTTTTTCTTCAAAGCATTAGTCTCAATTCTTTTGTAATTTACTAGTGAAGACAGATACCCGTAGTGTAATTCTTCAGCTGATTTGCACCTGAAAACTGTTGCGTTTGCCAGTAATTTAGATTGAAGACCTTACCAGATGGAATGGTCGCTTCTTCCTCAAATTTTCATTTCTTTGCTAAGGACATCTTGTCATGAAAATATGCGGTCATAGTTTCGTTATCATTTTTCTTACGCGCCATCATTAGTTCCAATTTATTAACAAAATCAATAGCCATTGGACAAACTCGTTCAAGCGAATACTTTCACTCATCTCAAGTCAGTTTAAATCATCCAAATTTTCATGCCACCCACGTGCAGAAGCAAGTAATCTCGTGTGCATTATATAAGATTTATCAGAATCCCGCCAATTGTATATGTGACCTCCTAATTGATCGATCTTATCTAAGCCTTTAGCATTAAAAAATGTTGGTCACGGATCGAATATTGATATTAATTTTGCATCCATGTGGGTAGTTTATTTTTCTTCGCGGTAGTTGAACCCAGGTTAGAACAAAAATTTTCGTTTACCTCAGTGGTTCCTTCTGCTAATTTGCTGTGTTTCTTTTTGCCTAACCCGTTAATGAAGGGCCTAGGTTTCCATATTTTGCCGTAGTTGTGGTGCGTTCTAACCATATCCCACTTCTGAGATTTTATCGGAGTCGCAGGAAGGATAATACTAGACTGCACTAAAGGTATCGGGAATAGAATATTTCCACTATTCCTGTCATACTAAAATCTTTTTAATTGAAAACTCCTTGGTTTTAAAAATCGAATACAATTTATTTATTTAAAAAAAGATTCTCGGTCTTGTCACAAGGTTTTGCCAAATTTGTTTAGTCGTTGAGAAAATGGAATTGACTCGAGAAAATTCAAGAGCGATGATTTATTATGACTTTCAAAGTGGTTTAACTCATAAACAGTGTGTTGGCCGGACGACTTCTGCATTTGGTGATGAAGCCCCATCCAAAACCACAATTTATCGCTGGTTTGCTGAATTTCAACGTGGACTTGAATGAAAAAGTAGTTAAACGAACTTAAAATCATTGCGATAATTAAATTATTAATATGTTCAATGTGGGGCGTGCACATGACGATAATTAAACTCAGCTAAGTTAAAATCGCAAGGAAGTGAGATGTCATTACTTAGGTGGGTGGTACTTCAAGCCGTGATAGCTTTATAACAATATACACAGAACACGTTTCGTCTTGTGTTATATACCACGTACCACGTATGCTTTGGTAATGCTAAACTTCACCTAGGACGTTGTTAAGCTATTGCATAGCTTTTATCGCGGACTTTGAGCGTGGTGACCGAATCAAGAAATTCCGTAACGAAAATAAACCTAACACCACAAAACCTAACATCGTCTAACGTCGTTTCAGTTCGGCAGACTTCGGCACGGTGTTTGTATGCGTGCGAATAGACGTATGCGTGTAGACTAGTTGCATGTATTGTAAGATAATAAAAATATTTTAAACAATAATATAGTTTATTGCTAGAAGCATATTCTTTGGATTCCCAATTCTGGTTTGCTACAGGGACTAAATAATTATAATTTCTTATATTTTGAGATAAGAATAGGTAAATCAAATGCGATAAAATTTATAAAAATAGTTTTATTCTACGGAATTTTTGTCTTCCCGTCTTTAGTATAAACGAAAGTTTATTTTTAATTTAGTAAATTAATTAGTACTTATTATTATAGTTTCTTATTTTGTTCTATAATGTTAGCAATAAAGTGTGATGGGAATCGCATGTAATTAAAAATATCAGTATTTTCCTTAATATACCAGTATTACTCATTTATAGATATCATTTAACAGTATTCGTATATACTTATTACTCATATGTATTCATCATTAAAAGTTTCATCAAAAAATAACACTGGCCTCATAGATATTAAAATAAAAGTCTATATTTATAAGTAATTAACAGAGTAAACAAAGTGGTCAAGTTTCTTTAAAAAGGGTGCGATTGATGGGCAATGTAAATCAATTAGTGCATTTTCGTACACAATTCCTAAAAAAATCGACTTGTATTATTTTACACATGCCGAATATTTATTGGAAAAGTCGTTTTATAATTTTAGCAGCTGTTATTATTAACTTAAATACATTATCATTGTGTTTTAATACTCTTACATTCGCCAAAATATTTTCATTTCACTTATTTTAATTTTATTTACACGGACACTTTATATCCGCTTGAACCCAAATTATTCCAATTTTCTTTAATTTGCAACACAGGCTGTAAATAATATTAAGTGGGATTCGATGTTTAGTTAAAGTAAAACATTTTTCTTTACGTGTTTGTAGGCGTTCCCGTCGACATTCTTTAAATTATTTGCAATTTGTGTGATGATTTACAAAATGTCTGAAAAGTGCCATGTTTGTCAACCTGACCCATTCATCAATAACCTTTAACTAACTACTCTACCGGTCTAACCGGTCTCTTCTTAGTTACTTAGAAAATTGAACTTTCATAATACTGTAGATCATTAGGCGTACGACGTATGTGTACAAGCAAAAAATATGAAAACTACATATTTCTATATTCGGCGGCGAAAGGTACATTGTTATTGTTGCGGTTAATTTCAAGACTGGACTTCAAATTCTTGGAACTAACCGCGTTATAAATTTGTAGACAATTACAGGACATGTTTTTATATAAATTATTAAAAAGGTAAAACTTTTTCAGATAATAAAGATATCTCACCAAAACATACATTTTATAAGGGACAAAATTAGGCACGCACAAACGGCGTTGGGGTTTTCGGTTTCGTCGCTAAAAGATTCGAGGTCTGAACGGGCGCCAAGCCACAATCATAGGATCAATAGGAATTTTTTATAGGATAGGGTAACAAACTAGTACACAGTCCACCTGATGAAAAGTGTTTGCTGCGGCCCATAGACATCTATATATATCCTCGATTACAAATCAAAATGTAGATGCGTTGTCACCCGTGAGGACTAAGATGGAATGCCTCGTTTCCGGTAAAAAGGGTCTACGGTTTTCTACACTCACCATACGAAACACAGCAGTGCTAGTAGTGGTGTTGGGAGTAGTGGTGCTGGGATTGGTGGTGACGGAATTAGTGCACGAAATTGAGGGAGGGCGGGAGGTGTTCTTCAATCTAGGTAAAGCACATCATTGTATTTAATTGAGCGGATGGTTGCAAATAAACTATTAAATATCTTTATTATAATTCATAACACCCTATTTGGTAACCTACCTTTTATTTAACTGGATTTCGTGCGAGGTGTTAGATAAACATTTATCACACAAATTCTTGATTTAAATACGGCAGTCCAATTAGGGACATTTAATATCTACCAGCAGAACGTGTCATGCTAGCAATCATAAACGATCGAAGAACCCTTGGGACTTATGTAGAGGTACTTGAGATTAGTTTTGGAGTATGCTTGAAAACAACCTTCAACGAGTCATGGTGGGTTTGCACCCTCTTTTATCATGCAGGGCTCTTAGGGTTAATGATTTCATAATTAACTTGTAAATAAGCAAATTGATTTGAATAATTAATTATTAATTAACTTGTAAATAAGCAAATTGATTTGAAATATATATTGAAAAATAAACAAAAGCTTTTCTTTCTTAATAGGCTGATAACCTGATTTTTTTAAATCCCTTTAAATCACTAAAGTTGCAACGCATTATATACTCTTACTTATTTTTCATTTCTTATTATTATTTTTGTATAGATTTAAGGATTCTAAGAAATGCGCTCCAGTATGATACGGCAAATGGATCCACCCTTTTTATTATATATAATAAATATTTTACTGGGTCAACAATAGTTTTCTGGATGTGCTAACTTCAAATTTACTTATGTAGACTTGAACTAAAGGTGTTTGTTTAGCGAACAATAGTAGAGGAACTTAAGAAATTATTATTTTTTTATTAAGGTAACAGAGTCTATTAAAATATTGAATAATACAATAGTGACAAAATTTTTGTTTTATTTTCTAACTCGGCGGACCTTTTCTAAAACATGTGCATACTGCGCTTGCCAGTACGAGGCTACCAAACAAGACCTTTCATCTTCCTCTCATCCTTCTCGGCTGCCAGTTTTAGAATTATATGAACGATCTATTGCCACTTTAGATCACAGATCCCCGGGGTTATGCCAGTTACTCATATACTTATATTATCGTTGTTACTAAAATTTTGTTGCGCGAAAAAATTCCGAGTGTAGCTTTATTCATCGCACACTAAGCTACCATACGGCGAGCAGTAAAGGACTACGTTTGAGTTCCGTAAGTAACCAGAGGCTACACACACTAGACAATATTGTTTCAAGGTATATCTGACGAGAAGATGTGTCACAATTTCCCAAACACCGCCCAGCCGAGCTGAATTCGTCTTTTGATTTCTCGGTCGAAGTTGGACTTACCCAGTTGGACTACTTGACCCAGGTAAACATACTCGTTAACAACTTTGAGCTTAGTGCCCCAAACAAATACCGGCATAGGTGTGACAAGAACATTAAAAATTACTTTCTTTTTGTCCATGTTAATTTTAAGACTTAACCGGTGGTAGACACTATTGAGTGTCATTAAGCATAGTGCCCTTCAGCGATTCTGCTATAAAGACTATATCGTCAACAAATCTAAGTTGAGCGATGTACTCACAAATGACGTTAATACCCTATCTTTTCCAGTCCTGTAGCTTGAAAACGTCTTCAAATGCAGTGGTGAAGAGTTTTGGGGGTCACCCTGTCTTACACCTCCCTGCAGTGTAATACTCGTACTTCGTACTCCGATTCTGTACTCGGATAGCCATCGTAGCCCTACTGTACAAACACTTCAGCACTTCGAAATACCGACAGTTCACTTGGCACTGCTGAAAGGACTGCAACACCGCCCAAATTTCGACGGAATCAAAGGCATTCTCATAGTTCGTATACGCTAGACAAAGTGACATATGGTACTAATCGATTTCTGTACAATCCGCCGAAGATTATGTATGTGGTCTATGGTACTAAAGCTTTTTCGGAATCGGAATTGTTCTGGAGGCTGAAAGTCATCGACTCTGCGTGAGAGACGATTTGTAAAGACTCTCGAAAACAGCACGTATACGCGGCTCAGAAGGGAAATCAGTCTGTAGTTCTTCAAGAGAGCGATGTCGCCTTTCTTGAATAACAAGACCACCGCACGCTGCTCCAGGCCTCCGGGGTAGTGTCACCATGGCGGACGGTATTGAAGAGCTTCTGAAGGACTTCAAGTGTCTGTTTTCCACTAGATTTCAGAAGCTCCGCTGTAATTCCATCCTCGCCCGCGGAGTTGCCGTTTTAAGGTGCTGGAGAGCCATTCTATTCTCGCTCAGACTGACGTCTGGGATATCATCGGAATAGTGTCTTATAAAACTTGAACTTGCGTGGTTATCCACACGATAACGTGTACAGCTGACCATAAAACCTCTCATTTTCACTCAGAATCTCAGGTGTTCCGGAAAAAATGCTGCTACATTTGGTCTACAGCTTCAACAGTTGGCTTTTTCTGGCAGAGATATCTCTGGCAAGGACTTTGGAGCCCTGATTTCGCTCAATGGTTTCTTTAATTCGAGCTGTATTAAAATTACGAAGTCCCGCTGCTTGCAGATGGAGATCTGTCTG